ATATATATATATATATATATATATATATATATATATATATATATATATATATATATATATATATATTAAATTTGTGGCACTGGAAATTAGCACACACATGCACGTTATTTGTAATTCTCTATCTACAGAGAAACACATTCCATATGAACTTTATATATATATATATATATATATTCTTAAATTATTTATAAATATCACGTCAATTAAATATAACGTTGAATTTAAAACATTTAATACTGTCTGTATGTAACATAGTAAATTATGATATATAGAGTAAGGATATACACACACACATATATATATATATATATATACACACCCTCACTGCATATCTTAATTTATACATATATAGTATTATTATTGATGTTACCTTTTACAAAGAATTGCATTTGTATATTTAAAGATGAAACTGTTTCACATATGGTCTAAAAATGTCTATCCTACTTGAAGTATTCCTTCAAGTGTTGCTAAAAAAAAGAGAAGTAAGAAATATTTTCATACATATGTACACACATATATATATATGTATGTATATATGTATAAAGTATATATATATTTTACTAGATATATATTGCAGTCTGTGTAATATTACTAATAATTACTACTTAATTCTTTCTTCACGAGGTACAAATTTATTAAAATATATATTGCGTACAATTTCTGATGATGTACAAAAATATACTATATACAAAAAAAGTTATGAAATATATAACAAGAGTTAAAAACAACTGTAGCAACTAAATATGGAGTAGCTTCGTTGCTTTGAGTCTGGTTAGAGGAACAAAGGACTTGTGTCCAAATCGCGTCTTACGACATTTATCGTCGCTGAAACATTAATTTATATCTTTTCTGGAGAGAGAGAGATTTGTAATTCTTCCCGTCATCAGCCATGTCGGAGAATTTATGTCGGATGGAATATTACAAAGTAGTCTCAAAGTTTAATTTACTTGAGGATAAAGAAAACGCATGTTCGAGTCAATTTTATACCAAGTGCATCGAAGGTAAGAGTGATGTGGAAAAAAAAAAAGGATTGTTGGCGGGTACAGAAAGACAGAAAAATTATAGGTTTATTAGCAACTAAATATGGCCACTTTCTTTTAGTTTGACCACCAGAGTATCAACATCTGGTAATATAGCACCAGCTTGCCTAACTGGTGGATCTACTACTGAAAGTATTTCAATCCTTGATGTTATATCTACTCCAAGATCTTTTGGAGTAAGTTTCTTGATGGGTTTTTTCTTAGCTTTCATGATATTTGGTAAAGTTGCATAACGTGGTTCATTCAAGCGAAGGTCAGCACTTAACACTGCAGGAGTTTTCATCTTGATAACTTCTAATCCCCCGTCAATTTCACGTGTGACAGTCAATTCACCATTATTGTGTTCAATCTGAATAGAAGTAAAATTAAAATCTGAAAAATTAAATATGCAATATAATAGAGTGAAATTTTTTGTTATATCCTACCTTACTGCAAAATGTTCCAGATGGCCAATCCAAAACACCTGCAGTCATTTGTGCAGTCTGATTGTTATCATCATCTATGGCTTGTTTACCAAGTATCACCAAATCTACTTTTTCTTCTTGAGCCAGCTTTGCCAGAAGCTTAGAGACATGAACAGGCTGTAGTGTCTGGTAATCAGTACCTGATATTTCAATATGAATCCCACGATCTGCACCCATAGCGAGTGCAGTCCTGATTGTATCTTGTGATTGTGTTGGTCCACAACTGACTGCTATCACTTCCTGAGCTATCTTTTTCTCTTTCAATCTAACAGCTTCCTCTATAGCAATCTCATCAAAAGGATTCATTGAATGTTTAATACCATCCACAACGACTCCAGTTTTATCTGGTTTCACTCGAATCTACATAAAAACATGTAAAAGTTAATTTTTTATATAAACATGTGGCATATGCTATTGTTTGGGACTTTGTACTATTATTCAAATGTTGGTTATATTTTTTTTATGTTGGTTATAATATTTTTTACAATATATTATCACAAAAATACTTTGAATGCTTATTCTCTTTTTTATCAATAAAAGTGTCTAAATATGACTAAAAGTCAATCAGAAGATTATAAGCTACCTTTAATAGCTATATTTAACCTTTTTAACGATAAAAGAATTCAAGGACTTTAATATTTTAATATTATTAATTTATCAACACATAAGCAACACATTCTCACCTTTACTGCATAATCGATTACTCTTTTTACACCTACGAGTATCCGTGCCATTTTTGCTCAACTAATAAATTGATATTATCTGCGAGTACAATTGATTAATTATTTTTTTTTACCGATACAGTGACGGCAATCTTGTAACAGTTAAGCATGACCAAAGTCTAAAGTCTAATAGCGAATTCGGTTGCTTGCACTAGTGTGCACTGAGTGCGCACTAAGGCTTGTTCATAGTATGTTATTATATTTAAAGATTGTCTTAAATAATTCTCAAATAAATTCTCAAATATTTTTAACCATAATATGATATGTATAACATCCGTACGAATCATTTTATTAGTTAAAATGTTTTTAAATATGTATTTAAGACACGATCTTAAATATAAGAATGTACTGTAAACAAGCCTTAATGCGCACTCAGTGCGCACTAGTGCAAGCTACCGAATTTGCTATAAGGCTGCGTTTCGTTTGATGCATATGCGTGCATTTATCTATAATTCATGTCACATATACTATAGAAAATCTGTGATATTCGTGAACGGAACACAACCTAAATTATCGTGTAGATACAATATTCCCCTAAAGAAACATTCTTACCAACTTACTCAAAGTGCTAGACGGTGGACATGAGCATTTAGAGGAATGAGTGACAAGTTCGGTATGAAAAAAAAATAAATATGCTCGTAAAAACAGACTACTTAAAAAACAATAGTAATAAAGTGATTTAGTAATAAAGTGATTCGACAAATATTTTTTGTAATGGAAAAGTCACTTTATTTTTGTATATTATGTGTACATCTAATATACATATAGTATATATATTAGCAAATCAATTGAAATTTATTATATTTTTAGATAATATCCGAGACAACATAAAATCTCCTGAGGACGTCCTAAGGACGTCCTGAGGATGAAGAATGTCCTCAGGATTTCCTCAAGATATACTCTGGATGTCCTCTGGATATCTATGCTATTAGAGATAAGACTATAGTCAGAAATCACATTAAATATAAAACTTCCTGTAACTAATGGTATAATCATGATCAGTATTCACGTATTAGATGAAAATATTTAGTTTTATATATATATAATTTTTTTTATTGATACAAGATTTAAAACAAAACCTTGCATCAATAAGATATTTTATATATTTTTTATTTCACGGTTTATAATCATCCCCTTTATAGTTGTACCATTAATTACAGAACAGATCAATTACCAAGTATATTGATAATACCTACATATACGTGATAATACTAACACACACACACATGTATGTATGTATGTATGTATGTATATAACATTATTTACATTTTAATAATATATACAAGTAGATATTTACATCATTTTTTGCAGCAAGGAAAGCAAAGTTTGGCATCTCTCTTTCACCTACATTCACAACATAATTTAGTTACATATGTGCATATTAAATATAAAATGTATAGAAAGATAAAATGAAAAAAAGATTACCTGTTCCACAGTACGATTTTCTAATTTTTCACTAATCAACAGAAATGAGTTTTCAGAATATTCTTTTTTGATACTTTGCAGCAGGACCATATCTTCCTGACGTGTCCATGGTTTAATGTTTGTTGAATCAGACTTTGACTGTGTATCATCTTTGACTGAAGTTGTTAGAATTACTGTTTCTACAGCTGTGTCTTTATTACCTGTGATAAAACAATATGTTAACAGTATTGCCCCTTCTGCTATTAATAATAAAATATGATTGGTAAAACGATTTATGACTTACTTAAACTATATTCAGTACTTTTACTTGTACTTGGAATACCTTGTGTAATTACTTTAGTACTTGACGAATTATTTTGTATGGATAATTGTGTACAAGTATTGGCTTCTGTTCCTATACATTCATTGATTTTCTCCTGTTCAATGGTACCAAACTCATTGCGTTCTAATAAAATATCACTTTCTTCAGTCTTCTTTTCTCCCTTATTTTTGCACTGGAGCATACGCATCTTCTTATCCGTGATTACGTGATCCATAGTGCCCATTCTTTTCAAAACTTTTCTTTGATTTGTAGTTTTGAGTGTGAATTTGGCATCTTTCTTAGGTTTCGTTTCTGTTTTTTCGTTATCCTCGTTATCCTTCAATGGTAAGTATTTCGCAGCGCATTGTTTCTGACAAACATCATCGTGACTAGAATCATTCTTTGGTGTTTTTCGTCGCTTTTTAGATGAAACTGGTGGGATGACTTTATCGGCAGTTTTTAACGACACACGCGCGATATTTTCCAATTTTTCCTGATCTTCTCCAGGGAATGTAATTTTTGCGGGTCGTAATCCCTCAGGTGTTTGAAGATAAATTCTCCCGTTAAGAAACTGCATTTAAGAAAATAAATATATATATAACAGAAACATTGCAAAGTGAAACAATACGAAAAGAAAAATACAGACGAATTACATAGTTAGATTTTGTTAAAGAATACATACCCGTGTGCCGCAGGAAACACAATGTTCCAAATTGTTTTTAAGACTCGGATCATCCGTGTTATGGCAATCGCACTTACAATGTTCTCCACCGTATGGATCTTCTTGACACGCTGCCACAGGCAATTCTATATTCTCATATAGCTCTGGTGCGTTTTCAGTGGAAGTTACATTTTTATCACAAGGTGCTAATGGACACGTCAGGTTTTCAAACATATGGGGTGCAAATAAGCTAATGAAAATATCATATACATGTTTAACAATATTTCATAAATTTCATACATAATACAACAAATAATATACATATATAATGATACAAATAGACCAAATAGAACAATTACTACCTTTCAGGAGGTTTTGCAGTAGGCAAGATTTGCAAGAATAAATCCATAACGAGTGGATGACCTTTGAAAACTGAACTCATAATAGTATGGACTTTTTCTAAAGTTGTATGTGGATCAGACGAAAGCTGTGTAATAGCCTGCATCATCTTTGCTATTCGGGACGGTTGTTTAGTAAAATATATTTGCGCGACGCGAACAAAATCGTTCATTTTTTGTAACATCATATATTCCACGGATTTGTCAATCATCGCAGCTTGATGCGGTTTTAAGAACAATAAAAAATCTGTACACATTTCCGGGTAATCCTGCAATTTTTTACAAATATCTTCATATAATTTCACTGTTAATATGTCTTTCTGAATTGCACTGTTTTGTAATGTTTCCTTATTTGGTGATGAGTGCAATTCTTCCAGAAATGGTGAGTCGATAACTGTTTGGTTGATATTTTCCAATTTGTCACTGTAATCTAAATATAATTTTATCACAGCTCTAAATGTTTCTGGATTATTAGATTCCAATATCAAGAGCAGTTTCTGAAGATACGACGCTGCAAATTCTATAAAATACGAATTAGAAAAAAGATTAATATCTCATTTTATTGCATGGTTATTATAATTACTTGACAAACTTACTAGTTTCACGTTCTTCTTCGGTCAATGGGTTTTCAGCTTTTATTAATCTTTTTATAATTTCTAATTCTCTAGTTTGTTTAGCCTTCTTCCTACTCACGGAATCTTTTATTATTGTAGTACTGGCTAACATTAATTCCGCTATTTCTTCTTCGTTATCCTATAAAAATGTATCACAATTTAAAGATATTGACTAATGACTTCTTCAATAAATAGAACTTATGTAAATAAAACTTACAACTTTGGACACGGTGCTATTGTCACTGGCGGTTTTGTCTACATTGTCTTTTTCTTTAGACTTTAAATTACTACAACTGGACGAACTCTTTGAACCCAAAACTTGTGCCATTAATTTCATATTTTGGGCACTTCTTGTTTTTGCTAATCGAGGTGTAGTTTTGCGTAGTCCTGGTGATATTCGTGGCGAATTGTCAGGTACTTTCGAATTTCTTGTTAATATAGTATTATTTTTATCTTGTAATTTATCTGATTGTGTTGATTTTATTTCTTCAGCATTTATCTTTAAGGTGTTGCAAAAATTTTTAAATGCTTTGTTTGTTTCTGTCTGTTCCCCAGTAGTTTGTACATTATTATCAAATATTTCTTTGTCACTGTTATCGTCGTTAAATGTAGATGTCCTTTTATCCAAAGTATCATTTTTTTTAGTATTTAAAGCTTTTGGATTTGAAGTTGCAGGTAAAATCTTCGGTAACATGTTCACAATTGGATTTCGTAAGGGATGATTATTAGAGACAATAGGATATGATTTCATTGTCTCATTCATATAAATTCCTTGTTTTCCTAGACCTAAATCTTTACATAAGTCAACCACATACTTACTATTCATTGAATCATTTTTAGATTTTCTCTGCTGTAATAATAAATACATAATTAATATTATATTATAATTATATTATAATATTATAATATTAAATTGTCTAGAAAATGTCATAAAGTTGTTACAATTATCACATCTACAATGTAACATGCAAAGAAAGTACCATGTATCAAATGTTTCAGACATTCTTTGGCATTTTTCGACATAAATAAAATTATAAATATTTACCTTATTTAGATATATTCGCCACCTTAAAGGTAAAAATTCTATTGGTTGATCTTTCGGAGCTTTCGGCTTTTGTACAATTGATACACAGTGTATTATTCTGGGAGCACAACCTTTTTCGAAATAATGCTACAATACAATTTATTTAATTACACACGATTATTTAATATAAGCATATCAAATACAGTACATACTTTGATTGGATTTTCATCATGAGAAATGCGACGTTTGGATATATGATACAATATTCCTTGTACATTTCTGCATGGTAACAGATAGTGATGAGTAAGCTGAACTGCATCGAATAATTGCATTTTCTTGTTTTTAAACTTACTCGGCTTAGATGCAACATATGGCAGAAACTGCTCAATACCAAATGCAATTAAACTAGAAATGTCATATAATTAAGTATAAAGTAAAATTCTCATTTTTCTCTCTCTTAACTACTTAACTATGTATACTTACTTTTCTTCCGATTTTAGATATGGTATAATGTTTTTTGTTTGTTTTAATCTACTTCTAAAAGGCATGTGTGGTAGAAGTTGTGGATACATAAGAGCTTTGCTTTCAACAAATAATTTTTCCAACTCAGAGAAAAATTTTTTATGCAATTGTTGAGACTTGTACACCCAATTATTTGTACAATATATTCTTGTCCTAGCATTTTTTTCTATTAAACTCTTCTTGAAGTTTGTGTAAAATTTAGTGCTTGAAAATTTATTTTCCCAAGTTGATACTAACTTAAGAGCTTCTTCCAAATTATCTGCATTAAATGCAGAATTGGGTCCATTACTCAAATATCTAATAAATATTAATAACACTTTCTTATATATATACTTGCATCTTTAGTGGAAATTGTAAGCTAGTAAAATACAAAAAATATTTTTATATCAATAGACAGATTGCCAAAATTTTAAAATAAGAAAAATCACATTGAATTTCTCGAATTTATTCAACATTTAAAATATTATTTAGTGTAAGGTTTAAATTAAATTAAAAAAAATTATATAGAACTAGTTGGCAATTTATTCATTTAGAATTGTTGATGATTATTTCTTAAGATGTGTCTTTAGTATATAATGTATTTTTCATCACCAACATACCTTAAACTATACAAGTTCTGCTTACACATTTTTGCCAGTGAATGATATTCTGGATGCATATATGTCATAACAAAATGCTGTACCATTAATTGTACATGTTGTTGAAATTGTGTAGTCAATAGAAGACGTTGCGCAGGATTGACTAATTTTGGCAATTCAGGTTCCGTAAGAACTGGTAAAAGATTTGTAGAGCAATTCTGGAAGACATAAAAATATTGATATATTCCTGTATCTCTTACTAATCAATTTTCTAATATTTTTAAACGTGGAAATGATTCAATAATTAAGTTTCTTTTATTTAATTCTGTATATTTTATATTTTCTGTATATTTCTCTATATTTTTGTATGTGAAAGCAAGTATATATTTTAATGTCATAATTTATTAAATAATGAAATAATTGTACTACCAGCTGTAAAGTTTCTGATGTTTTTCTCTCTTACCATAGTATTATTTTCAATAGGTGGTGTGGTATTATCTAACATTTCCTTTTTTGTTGATACTTCTTGTTGTGTTGCAAATGTATCGCTTAGTTCTTCAAGCAATTCTGCAATTAAATCATATGACTCCTTACGAGAAACTTCTACTGCTTTATCTGTCCTGAGTTCTTCCTTGTCCACTATAAATATTAAAAATTGATTTAAACAAAACTTATATTAAGACTTTTAGATTTTGATCAACAGGAATTAATTTTGATATGTTGACATATTGTCCTCACACATGAAATTATTATTTAGTTTCTAAATCTTTATGATTTTTACTGGACAAAATTAATTCCTATTTATTTAAAAAACTTGCTTTGCACTAATTTATTTTTTATTGAAAAATATTAAAATCAACCTGGAATAGTGTATATAGAACAGAGAATAAAAAAGATGTAAATCATATGATATTATAAAGTTACAAACATAAATCTGTTTCATCTTCTAAAATATTATATTCTGGATCTGCTTCTGGATCATCTTCTATGGCCAGTTCTTGTGCCAATGGTTGTGTAAATTCTTTCTTAAAATTATCCCAATCTTCATCAGGCTCAAAACCCCAATCATCCATATCAGCAGTTATATCAGGGGGTATAAATGCTTGCTCTATTTGCTCTAAAGAAGTTTCACTTAAGGATAACTTAGAACGTGTCCTTTGACCAATACTTTCCTCTTGTGTTGAAACATGTGGAATACTTAAAAATAATATTTGTCAACTATTATTAAGAGTAACAATATTACAAAAAATTGAAAAATATTTAAAATTTTTTATTGCATCAAATAAACTTGTTGTAATCAAATAACATGATAGATATAAAAAAATCTTTCTCACATACGCTGGTATTTTAAAAATTCCTTCAGGATCATATTGTACATGCAATGATGCATGTTGTTCAGGAGAAGCTATATCTAAAATATCAGTTGGTGTTGATGGTTGTGATTCTATATCACTATTTGTTGTACTTTCTATTTCTCTATCATCATCACTCTGTTTATCATGTTCAGGATTGTATTCTTCATCAGATGAATCTTCAGGTAATTCTTCCTGAATCAAAACCTGTACTTCTGAAGAAGTTTTATTTGCTATAGTAATAGGCCATGGTATAACCTTTGCATCTGCTAATTTCCTACAAAAATAAATTAGTAGTATCACACACATAGATAAAAAATAAAATTTATACATATAAATAAGATTAATATAGTCCAAATAACAGTACATACTTAGCTTTTGCTCTTGTTAATTTAGGACCAAAGTTAACATCGTTTTGAAGCCATTTTTGTACCATTGTCATTAAATGTTCATAGGTGATTACATGTTTCAATATGTTCTTAACGTTAGTAGCAGTCAAATTGGTTTTTGCAGCTTTTGCATCAAGTTGTCTTTCAATCTCTTCTTCCATTTCATTAAGTACTGATATTTCTTCAACAGTTTCTCTTTTATGTTTACTAGATGGTTCATTATTGTCCACTTCAGATATGTCTATTTGTAAGTCAGCATTCTCGGAGTCTGTAGAGTTATCGCTATTAGCGTCGTCAAAGTCAAAATTAATTGAAAAAGACAAATTGCACTTTCTTGGCGATTCGTCATGTGAAATGATGGATGCCAATGTGTCGGTTTTATTTTGAACAGCTTTGCTCGTAGATTTCTCCATTTCAATAAAAATATTTTTTTATCGAATCTATGAAAATTATTATAAGCTCTACTGAATATGATCATTGAGTTTATTTTACGAAAAAACTTTTTACTACATTCTTCAACTAGTGTTATTAGCAGAAATTCTGTTTCTTGTGTATATGCGACGTAACGCCATCTAGTCCAACGACATGTGCTGCGTATGCGCATGCAGGTACAAAAATTTTAGCGGGATGTAAAGGTCCATCTACAATGAGATTGGCAGTGGGAAGTAAGACGTAAGCAGTAAACAAATTGACCAATCATAGGGTGTTTTCCAGCTACGTTACACTGTGTTACACAAAACCAGTTTATTGGTCATATATTATCTAAAATATCTTGTAAGATAATATGTCACCAATAAACTGGTTTTGTGTAACACAGTGTGCATAGCTGGAAAGCACCCATAGTCGATTATTCTTGTAATAATCGACTGTGGTTGGTCAACTCACTTACTATTTACGTCTTACTGCCCACTACCAATCTCATTCCCCTTGTCCACAACCTTGCTTTAATCTTTAAGCCGTAATGAATTGACTAACCACAGTCGATTATTTTAAAAATAATCAATGTGTATGCGGACATCGGACGCGATGTGAATCCTCCATAAGCATTCTATCTTTCTTCTGTATATAGTGAGCAATAAAGATAGAATGACACTTACAACGTGTGTTTAAAAAGAACGCAGTCTAAATGTATATTAATCAGTTCTTCGAAAATAAACAGTGGTTATGTGCTATTTTCTGAGTTAATGCAATATTTTGAAGTTTATCAATGATACATAATTAATAATCATGTAGAGAGATGATTTTATTTATTGTAATTTCCAATATTGAATTAATAATAACGACAGAACATTATTTCGATATGTTTCAACGGAAAGAAATAAATAGCATGTTTCCGGTGAAACAAAGCCTGATTGGACCGTTGAGGTTAGATTGATGCATGTAAATAAAAAGTATGAGAATATGTCGATGTCGCGTGATTGTCATTGTTACGCATATATCTGTACACTTTTTACTTCTGTTATCAATTCTCTAATAGAACTGATGTAATCGTTTAACAATTTACCAATGTTCACATTAAAATTTAATCGTCCGATAATATTCAATGCAGGTCGCATCCACGAGATTGTTTCGCGTTACCAAATTGTTGCGATCGTCTTTACGGAACTCGGACAATTCGCTCTCAAATTTGCAGTATAGCGCACATATCAGACAATTGGATATCACGATGACGTCTAAACAAATCTTCAAAGGTCGAAGTGATCACTATAACGGCATTACGATCGACTCTGCCGAAGAGGCTTGTGATGATAAAATATTTGCACAACGTCTTAAAAGTAATGATATTAGTTTTGTCTTCTTATTCTTGTTTTTCGCATTCACAAATAAAAATATAAATAATTATGTGTTGAGTGATAAGAAGAAGATAAGAAGAACATAACCAATTCGCATGTCTAAGTAGAGTTACACAGATAGTAGATTGTACATAACTTATGAATCTTTTGTAGACTCTTTAGAACAATGGGTAAAGGACAAAAGACGCACAATATGGTTTCGTATACATATATCTCATATGGAATGGGTTCCAATATTAACAAAACAAGGGTTTGTATTCCATCATGCAAAGGAGGGATACGCCATGTTATATCGCTGGTTGCCTATTGACGAAGAATGCAATGTCCCAAAATATGCACATACAATTCTAGGAGTTGGCGCATTTGTGTATAACAAAGAAACTGGTGAAATTCTTGTTATCAAGGAGAAATATTCCCATAATAAAGCAACTTGGAAACTTCCAGGTGGCTATGTGGAACCAGGTATTTTATTTATTGTATATGAGACAATATATATACCATATTTTATACATATATACATATTTATATTTAGGAGAAAACATTGAAGCAGCAGCCAAGAGAGAAGTTTTGGAGGAAACAGGAATTCAAACAGATTTCAGATGTTTAATATCCTTCAGACATGGACATGATTACTCTTTTGGATGCTCAGATATATATATGATTGCATACCTGACTCCACAAAATTTTAAAATCCAGAAATGCAAACGAGAAATTTTAGAGTGCAGATGGATGAAGGTAGAAATAATATTTTATATTATAAGGCTATTCTTATATGCTTAACTCAAAAGTATTATAAGAATATATTTACATAGAGTTTGTACATAATCTTGAATGAACTTGGAAAATCTTATTGAGATCTATGGTACATTTTTATTAAACTAAATTTTATCACAGTTATAATATGTCTGTAGATTTACATTTCAAATGATTACATAACAGTGTTATTTATTATTCTTTCAGTTAAGTGAATTCATGCAACATCCAGAGGTACATGTAAATAATAAAACATTTGCAACAAAAACAGTAGACTTTCTTAGACATCAAATGGGTATGGTTGTGAATTATGGAAGACATCCTATTACTAAAAAGCAGATATGTGTGTACAGCATGGAAAATGTAAACATTGAAGCTGCATCTGTAGAATAAGTTTCCTGTAAAATAATTACATGTACATAAAACAAGATATCAGAAATTTTACATAACAAAATTTTGCATGTTAATAACATGGCATAAGAATATGCATATATTTTTTGTTACTGTCATAAACAAGTAAACATTACATATATATATTTTTTTTTTAACAAATTACACATTAATCTCTTCCGGCATGAATTGATTAAAATTTGAAGAAAATTATTTTACTTTCAAATGACTTCTGCCAATTGTGTAATATCTTTTGTGAAATTTTATGGTAAACATTCATAATAATGTTTGTTTTGTTTTGACACAATGTTTGACAATAAAAAAAATTGAATGTATCTAAACATATACATGTCAGTATTTCTGAAATAGTTATATTACAGTAATTACATTGTTATATAAATACAATTACACTAAATATTATAAATCAATGATTTCTTAACAAATTGATTATCTTAATCTTAAAAAGACTTATACATAAATTTATTTTTTTCTTTATATATATTTTCTTTTTATGTATCACAATAAGTCGGAATTCAAACTTGAATTATCGTACATAGATATTTTCTGGTCATCTTGTAATTATTGTTGAAATTTCGTAAATATATATTTAATGAACTACATCGAGAAAAATCTAACTATCCCACGATCATATATTCCAACTATTTTCGTGTGAATTAGTATTTATTTGCATGTTATAAAAGGAGCGCATTTGTTGCTATAAAATTTAACAAAATTGATCAACGAGTTTGTAGAATACATTTTCCAGTTAATGATATTATAAATTAATAATGGTTCTTTAATAAAGCGATATATAAATGGTGTGAGATATGGTATTATTTTAAATACCATATCACGATTGATAATAAAAATTTCGCGATCTGATTATCCGATAATCGCGAGCCGATTATTATCTTAGTCAGACTTTAAAAAAGAAATCGATACAGTGAGTATCATTACCAGAGCTACAATCGGTGGCATGCAATAATGGTAAAATAATGGTGGTGGAGCTGCAGTCAACGAAAGAATGATCCAACCTAATAAACGTACCATATTACTTAATATAAGTGACCGCATCCCCTTACACCTAGATATGCATTTTGTAATATCAAACGTAACACACGTAGCTAGCACTGTCCAACTTAAAAAAAGTATATGGTCCTCTGTAGTAAGTCTTTTGTCGTAGCTGCAAAAAATACATCCATTTTCACTAACAAATATGAAATTTAAGATTAACTCCGAAACAAGAATTTTTTTTTGTAATATACAATACCTGAAGTTCTTCGCCCATACTAAGACAGATGGAATCGCCGGTATTGCGGTGAAACTGAACAGTAGGAACAGAACAAGATGATTGTATACATTTTCACTAGTACTTCTGTTATTACTCTCTTCGTTTCTTGAACGCTTAAAACGTTTAAACCATTTGAAATGCTGAAGCGAAGCCATTAATAATTGTTCCAAATAATTTTCGTACATCCTCGTTAATTTCATGAAGTAAAGCAACAGCGAAATGATCATGGTTAAAGCCCCACATATCGCGAAATTTAGGGGTAATATAATGATAGTCATAAGAAATGGCACCTCAACTAAGGTTCGCACGAAGTAGTTTGACCACGTGTCCGTGTAAGCTATTACACGTGATAGTAATCTGCAAAAAATATAAGATATTCTTATCAGTGTTAAAGTTTACCACTATTTTCTGTAAATCTCAACGATTCGTATACATTTTTATTTTAATGTAAATAGAAAATCTTACCTAGCGACTATTCCGTGTTCTATAACGGATCCGAGAAATATGATTGCGAAGCATACACCGATGGCGGATAGGCCAATAATACATAAAGCAACATAGGTTTCGTAAATAATGTTGAGGTAGAAGGATAACATAATAGTTACGATTATCACTGTCATAATATCGGAATCTAGATGTATCCTTGCAGATAAAAAAAGCAGGAGTAAACTGATGATCACAATATAAAGCAACGGCCAACGGTCCCGTACTCTACAAGAGATCTTGTCGATAATTCCCCCTGGTTGAACATAAATTTCATAAAGACATTCCGGATCCAAAGTTAGTCTCAGTCTCGCCGTTTGATTGGGATGCTCGTAAGGAGTCTGAATCTTCATTGTTTTCGGACCATCATCCCTGCGCCACAAGTATCATCATATACTTATATGTGTCAAATATATCATACTGAATACACTTACGTGTTCGTGAAAAACCTCGATTGAATAGCTCCCATGTTCCACGGTTCTATCAGCTCGACGATAGCGTGCTGCTTTTTATCAATACAACTCAGCGATTTCACTTCGATCACAACCGCATCCATAATGTTGAGAAGCGTCACGTAGTATCTTATGCTGCCTTTGGCAGTTTTAACGAAATCGTACTCACGAAAACCAAGGAAATACGTAAGATGCATAAATTTGTCATTTGCCGATTCGACTCTACTCTCATAAAAATACGAGTCGAAGCTGACAGTAAGATATTTCTCCAAATCGTGTGGAGTTATTCTCACCACAACATGCGTGACATTCGGATAATCGATTTTTTTCAGGTCTAAATCGACGGTTCTTCTTGTTCGATCCAGAGGATCCGGTAAAATTCTCGTTTTGTTCGTTAGGTTCCAGCCCCATTCACTGTAACGTACATATTGATATAAATTATGATTTTCCTTCTTGTAGCAGTAATACGTAATTTATCATACGTTACCAAATTTTCCTTTGCTCCTGTTTTTCGGGCGCTATACATACAAACAACCAATCTTTGTTCTCTAAGTTTGTCGCATCGATTGTTAAAAAGTCAGATTCGTGGGACAGTTTCATCGTCAGATATATAGTAGATGAAATTTTCTTATTTTTATTGTTCCAAACGTACTGTTCAGGTACAATAGTGATCCATTCACCGTTGGTTTCAAATTGCACTTTCTCTTCGTAGTGGTATAGCTTCTTACCGGAACTACGCTGAAGACGAAATGTCATGACGAAATTATATCATGATAAAAAAAAAGTCAACAAACAAATTATTACTTACTTGTAAAAAGTGATAGGACAAGGCCTGCATTTTCAAGTCGGGATTCGATGTGATTCTAGACCGCTTCTTCGTATCTACAGTATCGAATAGAGAACGTACGATCGCTAACACCAATTGCTTGCACCATAGAATGCTCAAATGATCCGTGGATTTCCAAACGGCGGGCACGCTCGTCGAAAGAACGTTGATATCTGCTGTGCGATCGAAAGTTTGCGCGGCAGTCACAAGTACATCGCGTGGTCCGCCCCCGATGGATACCACTTTTGTTCCTGCATCTTTAATCATACCTGAACGGTTCTCCAATTCGTAATAATAACTGGCAAATCCACTGTCAAGAACCAATACGGGAGTGTGAGGAGTAGCTAAGTTTATTATCATGTTTGCAAAGGAAGCATTCATATCTGGCGCCAATAAAAGGGCTCCCTTTGCTATAATGCCACCCTGGAATAAGAAATTGACTCTGTAACTTTCTAACTCCATAATCACATTGTATGAAATACATCTGTGTTTCATACTTATTATTTATTGTAAATCATCCACCATAGAACTTACCATAGAATGTCCTATTAGTACAACACTGTCCATTTTACCCTTATACAAGGCTAATATCGCCTTTATACAATGCGATACATAAATAGTTTGTTCCATAAGCACACCTTGTGATAAAGATTATATGTATAAAAATATGAATATATCAATGAATGTATTTTAAGATTTAACACACACAACATTATGTTATTTGTACCTCCATACAATGCAGAATAATCCTTGCTAAATGAAACGGTAAAAAAGTCAAAGTGGTATGGTGTCCTGTTTTTTAAACTTTTCCTTAAACTTACTGAAGCAATAGATCTTACTGAAACACAATAAAACGATTAGATAATGTATTTAAACATTTGTAAAACTATGATAGAAAAAAGTATTACGTAATTAAAATTTTAGAGTTTAAATAAAAAACACGATATGAACCTTGTTGGTGAGATCCTGCATTGCCTGGTATAAAAAGAACTGGAATTCCAGAAAAATGCATTCTTCTCAATTTTTCTGTAACTGAGCCTTCCCCATAGGCATATAATGCAAATCGTGGATATTTTTCTTCTATATCATTTTCTAAGGATATTCTCTAAAATAAAACTAATTACTTAGAAAACAGCAGTAAAGTCATGTATATTAGATATCTTAAATTAAGAACTGGATAAAGTATGATAAACTGTTCTTATAACATAATTTATAAACATTTTAATACAATCTCTTTACAAAATATTCATGAAAAAATATCTTTTGACATTCCTAGTAATCAGGATTGATTAAACAGTTTAGTAATCAGATAAATGATAAAGATAGGCATATCGTCCAAAGCATATATTTTCCAATCTTATAGCAGACTGTTGTAGGCAATATATTAAAATTACAATATATAGAGATCTACATACCACATATTGCGGGTATTCAAACATATATGTCATTTCACATGTATTTTCTTCAAAATCAGTCATGTATCTTGCCACTCCAAGAATATATAGTAAACAAACATATATGAAAAACAGTATTGATATACTATAAATTATTATTGATTTTACTGAAATCATGTTGAATATTTCTGCAAGTCTTTCCTGAGTAAATAAGTTAAAATATTAGTAAAAATAATGATAGCACATAATGTATAAACAACATAATATTTTTGTATTCTGAAATATCCAGTGTATATATTATTGATTATAATTCTTGAATTAATGAGATGAGTATAAATTATACATTAATATTGAAAGAAAAAATGTAACATAGAAATAGACATGCAAACAAATTATTTACCGTGAAATAAATCCTTATTTTCTTTGAAGGTTATATTTGTTCCAAGCAATGAAATTAGCATACACAGCAAAAGTCACAATGCAGTCAGTTCATTCAATAAAATCTCAGTATTTTTCTTATTCCATCTTGTGACATATATTCTTCTTTATATAAATGAAAATAGTATCTATCTTGACATAACTTGCAATATCTGACTTGATCACTTTACACATATTTCTGTTATTGTTAATATTATTATGGTATAAAGAAATGTGTAAGGAAATTATTACTTCATCGTTGTTCTCTGTTCAAATGTAATATCTTAATATCAAAAAGATTTTTGATTTTTCGCTAAGTGTCGTGCTATTTGAAAATTAAAAAATCGTCTGCTCCGCTGTTGAGTTGTACTACTTCTCTTTCTGAGCTATCGTATATTTCGTTCCTAAATGCATCTAGAAAAACTGTCTAAACTGTTTTGTCGCTAAATCGTGTTTGTGATAATGGAACGCTTGCAATACTAGCAATGAATATTGGAATATAACTTACGTACCTGGATCGCATTCAAAATTATGAGGATATAACTGAGCAAGAATCTCATAATAATAGTACTAAGAAATTCAATTTTACTATGATTAAATTTGAATAATTTGCTATTTCTTTGTATTTTTTGTTATAGATATTACAAGTCTAGCGTTGGTTTTTACTAGCATTTATTCTTTTTTTCTGTTTTTCTATGTGATAATATAAATACTATATATGAATACTCTCTTAAACACTCAATATCAGAATATATCCAAATGGGATCAAACTGGTCTATATTCAGCATTTACGTCGAGAACATACTTTACCTTTGATGTATTAGCAAGTCACATGTAAACAGTACAAAGAAGTATCTCATAAGGTCATAGTGAAGAAAAAGCATTTCATGAGCATTATTATACATATATATTACATAAGAGATATTACAGAAATCCATAATATAACACTAATAGAAATGACGTTTTTGTTTTGTATTATATTCAAAATAAAATGCCAGCAGAATATTCGTACATAACGTATCATCTCGATTTTTTCCCTTTGTCTTTCTTGCGTGCGGTTCGCTCGACAATAACTTCACCGTCGGGTTTAACAATAACGTCGGTGTCCCTCACAAATGTTGAGAGTTCTCCCTTTACATCGCGGTAAGCGTGTGGCCTCTTTGGATTTACCACTGGTGGTTCCACTGTATTCTTATCCTCTGAAACATGCAAGTTCGTTTAAAGAGATGATCTATATTGCTCAACATATAGTCCAATTTGTGATAGTAACATACTCAGCGTCATATAGAGCGGCAATCCTAAAGTGGTCGCGCCTTTCAGCCGAAGAGAACGTATGTTCGCCCAACCGCCAGGATAATTCTCGGATAAGTATTTGCAGATGACCAGTGTATTCTCCAAGATCTCATCTTGCTTCATTAATGTGTTTCCTACCTGCACTATGTGACAGTCGCCATCAGAATGCAACGTCATGCTAGTTTTCCTTAGAGCATAGTCAATTTCATGCTTCAAGTCTTTGCTGTTCATTCTGACAGCAACCGGTAATTTTCGTTTTGTAGAAAATTCCTTGCCCAATAAGTGAGACAAGTGACCTACTATACGACTGTCCGCGAGAAAATAATCATAGCTGGCAGCGAGTTTTCGTTTTAGTTCAAACTGATCAAATTCTGTTTTTACACGAGTCATAGATATTATTTCATTCACTCGAGAGCATCCATGCTCAGTGAGTAGATTTGTATAATGCTCTACAGTTGGTTCGTAATCTTTCCTCCTTCCTTTCTCTAAGTCGCATACGAACAGGGCAACTTCGTCATCTGATGTTACCATAGAATGTGGTAATAATCTATAACAGAACATAAACTCAAAATAATATCCATTTAAACCGCAGTTGTACTTTAATATATACAAATTATCATCATTCTAAAGTTTGTAATCAGAATATAGGTCTCATAAGGATCCATTGGTATTTATACAATATAATCATGTAAATTTTAGTTAGAACAAAACAAATATGTAGAAAATTAACTAAAAAACAAAGTAATTGGACAATTTGTAATAGCTATTATAAATTAAGATATTAATGGAAATAAACATACGATGTAATCTTTTTCAAGAATTATATATATATACAATAGTAGATTATATATATATATATATAAAATTTTTAGAGAAAAAAAATCATTTCATTTACTTACATTCTCATGTTTCTATGAGGTACTTTGGCTATTTTGACACAAGTCACTTGCAAGAATATTGGCTGAGCCTCGTCAGTAAGAAGATCATTTTTACCCTTCAATTGCTCTTCAATTAAATGGAACATTGCTGAAATGCACTGTTGTATATGATTTTTTGATAATTTTGCTTCAACATTTTCTGCGTTATCCTTCTCATTCAGCTTCATGGTCTTCACCTTCACTACTTCAGTAATTTTCTTCTTTTTGGTAGTCTTATTTATATTTATTTTTTTTTCGCTAATCTTTTGTTTGTTACTTTTTCTTTTTATCGAAAAATTCGTCTTTGGCTGTTTTGCATCTGACACGTGTTCAATCTTATTACTAACTTTCGGTTTCTTTGTTTTCGATACTTTTTCTACGACTTCTTTATCGGTTAAATTTTCTTCTCGTTTTCTTTTGCTTTTATTTTGTGATGATTTCTTCTCAGAAAGGGCCATTTTTGACAAAAATTATTTAAAAATAAATTACCTAATCTCGTGTACGTGTGCTGTTATGCGTCGCAACAAAGAAGAAGCGTGGCGAACAAAGCCAGCTTAGGCTAATATTAAGCGGGATCTACAATGGAAGTCGTAAAATCGTAAGTTGTAGAAATTAACCAATCGCGGTCGATTATTCTTCTCATACTCGATCACGATTGGTCAATTTCTACGACTTACGACTTTATGACTTCATTGTAAACCTCGCTTTACATTTGTCGTACAAGGGGTGTTTACGATAATTCGAGTTGGAGTTAGTACGAGTTAGTTTCACTAGAGCCGAAAAATATGATAGGCACAAGCATCTAGTATTTTCATGATTCATGACAACTCAATGCTGTCCGATAAATCGAGTAGAGTTAGGATAACATAGTGGATAGTATATGTATAAGAATTAACAATATCAGGTAACATAGTTTCGTAAAATATATAACAATAATATTACGAATCAATGAGTTGTTACATTTTAGAAAAATTAGAAGCACTAAATTAAATTATGAAAAGATATCATGTATTTGTAAAATATTCAAAAGTAGAAAACAATTATTCTAACCTATTATTAATCTGTTATTATTGAATATTTCACAAATACATGATATCTTTTCATAATTTAATTTAGTGCTTCTAATTTTTCTAAAATGTAATAAATCATTGTTTCGTAATATTATTGTTATATATTTTACGAAACTATGTTACCTGATACTGTTAATTCATATACTATCCGCTATACTACCCTAACTCTACTCTACTCGATTTATCGGACAGCATTGAGTTGTCATAAATCATGAAAATATTAGATGTTGTATCTATCATATTTCTCGGCTCTGGTGAAACTAACTCGTACTTACTCCAACTCGAATTATCGTAAACAGCCAAGATTTTCGAATGGTTATGGCTCCTGCACACAGGACGCGGTAATGCTTGCCGCGCGGCGGAAGTCCGCGCGACAGCCAATCAATATGTTGTTTTTCCGTAAGAGCTACAAGGTTATTACAGAAAACAGCATATTGATTGATTGTCGCGCGAACTTCCGCCGCGCGGCAAGCATTACCGCGTTTTATGTGCAGGAACCATAAGGGTGCGTTCAGATGGAGAAAGAAATAGCTAAACGGAATAGTTACGGAAAAGAGATATGGTGGGGGTTAACCAATTAGAATAATTCCGTTTTTATTCCGTTCTGTTGTTTGGTAGATAAGTTTCATATGGCACAGAACTGTTACGGAACGGAACAAAAACGGAAAACATTCTAACCTATCAACATTGAAAATTGTAAAGTTTTCGAGATATTTTAGATAATGTGTGGAAAATAAACTAGTTTTGTGTAAAATTAGCGGCACACGGTGTTTTTGTGCACGTTTCGTGCTATGGAAATACTCTGTTTTGATTGGTGCATTTTCATCCTTCTTCAGAAATATATCAATCAGAACAGAGTATTTCCATCCAGCAATCGAACATGAAAACAAGCACCATGTGCCGCTGGCTTAACACGATGGCTGCGTTCTTTTATTCGCAACAGATGCAGCTGATGTCATGTTATCCTTCGATTTTACCGAATGTACAAGGATAGAATGACATTGGCTGCATCTGTTGCGAATGAAAGAACACAGCTAATGGATGCGTTCAGCGAACTCAACAGTTGAGCAATTCATCAATGTAATTGATGTAGATTTAGGGATCTAATAGTAAGAACCAATAATCGCTAAACCAAATTAAAAGTTAGAGATAATATATTTTATTTCATAATACTGAATGTGATGCTAAATATATATTATTGTCACGTCCAACCGACCAGGCTGCCAGCCAGTGATAATTTTTGTCCAAATAATCCTTTACCTGAGACACTCCAGGTACGAAACCTTTCTTTCCCAAAAGAAAGGCATCTCAGATAGCATTACTACCATTCAGACCCCTTCCTAAAAGCGGGATCACAAAAACATAATAGTAGTAGAGTAGTAACCGGCGTAGCAGTCAGTCAGGTCGGATGCCGGGATCGGAAGTCCAAAGATAGTTCTCACTTCCAAATCCCTCTAATGCCCAATTTCTTCACCTCCGGTTAACTTTTTCTGTTGGATAAATGTCAACCGTGATTGGTTAATCTTGCCAACCATAAATATGATTGGTCCATTCCAATAGAATAACTGGCAGATAAAGTTAACTGGCGGTGAAGAAATTGGGCATAATTCACTAATTCTAAACCTTAGTTCCCTCTAATCCTTAAGCAATTTATTTTAGGTTATCTTTAACAGCCTTAAACATTTACGAGCGTTTTATTCTAATGGATAATTTTTTAGTTCGTTAAACAGTTATTTTAGTTATTTCGTCACTTCCGTTACTTTAGCCATACTTAAGATATCTTTGTGAGCATATTACATATTAAGAATTATACAATACACATTATATATATACATATATATACATATATATATATATATATATATATATATATATATATATATATATATA